AAGTTGATGGAAGAGACTATGCAAATGAAAGCACGAGAAATGCTAATGAGTACCTCATTTGCATTGCCTCTGCCGACAAATTCCTGCAGTGTAGACATAGCCTTAGAGAGCATTGGCCTGGGATTTGGGAGACTTGGTGTGAGTGGGGTCTCGAGGGTCACACTGAGGTTACTCTGTTAGGGCAAACTGCAAGAGAATGGGACAGACCATTCCCAAATCTTGTGAATATTCCAATACTCAGATTTACCAAATCAGCACAAAACAGCTTCTATGCTGCCTTACTGGTTTCACAGAAGTAAGAACATAATTCCCTTATGGAAACCCAACCCGAATTACCGTTAACTCACTTTTCTAGCAGGTCTCTAAAGGTTGAATCCGGGTCAGTTAGCCCCTGAGCTGCGTAACCTGCTCTGGCCATGTGCCACATCTGGGTTCTATTCTTAGCTTATCCACTAGTCTGCTGGGAGATGCTGGACAAGACACTTCCACTCCCTATACTTCAGTTTCCCCAGCTATAAAATGGTAGCGCTAGGTAGGAGCTAGATGTTGTTACACTACTGACTAAGGCCTATGCCTAATTAGCAATTGTTTGATTGCAGGAATCCCTGTCTGAAGTGACCTTTGAGGTACTGCACCTCTCACTGAAGCAGAAACTTGCTCGTATTGCTGTTCATCTGATTGTTTGGGTGGCTTCCTTAGGAACAACAGCTGCTTGTTGTGCCGGTGTTTACTTCCTCTCAAGAAATAACCTACGGGTAAGGACCAGGTTTGGTAAACTGCTATCCTGAACACACAGGCTTCAGCATTGGCATGCCGGACTCTTGATTAAGAGTGTGCACGATTGAGGTTTGAAAGACAATAAGGCAGCAATAGGTGTTGCTTCTGCCAATACGCTCGTGTAACCTGCGATAACCTAATACTTAGTTAATAACCAAAGGTGAAACAAGCTGGCATGGCCCAGTGTGGAGACTGGCGGATGGGGCTCTGGATGCTGCTGGCACTTCAGACTGTGCTGCCATAGTGCACCCAGGGTCTCGCTCTGATGCTCAGGAAGCCAGACAGCATGATCCCCACCACCCTGGGGATCCGGCAGTGTGGTCCCTGCCACCCAAGCCAACCTGGGGATCTGGTGGCTGGGAAGTACAGTCCCTGCAGCCTTGAGGGTCTGGCAGCGTGGTGGCTGCATTCCCAGCCCTGAGCTTCCCCCCACACACTCCAGGCCCCTTCACATTACGGGCAGAGGAAGGATAGCATGGAGTCAAGACGGGTGGGGAGCTCAAGGCAGGGGTGTAGAGATGCAGGAGTGAGGGCAGGAGATTGAGAATGGTGGTGAGCTCAGGTCAGGGGATAGTGTCTTGAGCTAACACAGGAATAGTTAAAGGATCCTTTAACTAAAGGATCACTTGCTGTTGGTCCTGCTTTGGGCAGGGGGCTGGACTTGATGACCTCCTGAGGTCTCTTCCAGCCCTAGGATTCTATGACCGTCTATGGTATGACAGCATCTGTAAGAAATGTAAGTTACTTTCACTGCTGTAACAATCAGTGCTGAGAAGGCAGAAAGGATTCCTTTGTTTGGATTCTAGTTGCCTTATTCTTCTAGGTACTACAAAGAAAAACAATGAAAAGACAGAAAAGTCTGTTTCCTTTACCTTTCTTTGGTGCACTCTAAGGCCCTAATGCTCTACTTGGATCTGCAAGTGCCACCCTTTGCCTGTGTAGGTTCAGGGATCCATCCTAGCAGATTGCACTGCAGAATCGGCATATGCAAGTGTAACTGCGTTGGTTAAAGACCGAGCTGTGACTCTTCAAGAGAACACAGGCGTGTACAGATTGTTCCACAGAGATGTTCGAGGGGCGTCTCCCTTGCACTTTATTTTTCTCTTCCTTTTCAGCCTTTGGAAGGTAAAAGTGAGCTGGAAAATGAGGCTGCTGCCCTAGTGCTGCCCGTTGTTGTGTCTCTGCTCAACCTCTGCATCCCCTTCTGCTTTGCCTTGTTTGGACTCTTAGAGAAATTCCAGTATCCCAGACATCAGCTCTACGTCACTGTTATCAGGTATCCGGAGCCATCCTCTCCTAGTTAGCTGCCTGCAGTTGGCTGCACTTTTTCTGCCAATGGTAAGGCCCATGACTAAATAGTATGGAAAACAGCAGCCTGCTGTGCATCAGGGCAGTTACCCCATTCACAGCCTCAGTAGAAGAAAGCATATTATTTCCCTCTCTTCCGTCCGTATCCTGATACCCAGGGCATTGCTCAGCCTGTGATGCAGATCACAGTGAGGGAAAGATGGAAAATGGAGGGAGTGTTGTTACAGCAATACAAGGTACCAACATCCCCACTCCACTAGCAGTTTCTGCTAGAACTGGCCAAATGGAGCCACAAGGTAGTTTAAAGCTGACATCCCTAATGTGGGACCATGTGCAAGTACTGTTGCCTTCTCCCACATGGAATTTCACACATCTCACTTGCAACGTTTTACACAGAATCAAGTGCATTAGAAAAGAGTGATGTGCAACTGATGTCCCTGCCCCCTTTAATTAATAGAACTCAATATAGTTACTTCTTCTCTGCAGAAATATTTTTCTGAAAATATCAATAATTGGAATCCTCTGCTACTATTGGCTTAACGATGTGGCGACATCAGAAAAAGAGGTAAAGTTTTAATCACGTGTGTGTACAAATCTCTGCCATAAAACATGAGGTCAGGAATTAGCCTTAAACTACTTTCATAATATTTTGCCTAAAAATCAAGAGATATGTGTAGGAAAAGCTATATGAAAGCTATATGAAAGGACAGACTGTTGGGATAAAATTTTCACCAGTACAGAGGGCTACATGGGACCTCTTAAGAGAGGGAAGGGCTTGTGGCCTAGACATTCTTTGGTTACATCCAGGAATCTTTAGAGAAACAAATATTGTGAGGGGTGATAGGAGAATCACCATAGGGCTTTATTCATCCAGCTTAGGTCAAAACTTGCTATATAGACAGACAATGATGAACTCTGTTGTACTGCGTTTGAGCACATTTTTGAGTTCTATCCTCACTGGGTTTTTTGGGGGAGCTTTTTATCTGAGGGGGAAGGAAACTGTCTTTCAATGAGCTTTGGATCAGGTTCTGGAAGTTCATACGCTAGAGGCTAGACAGAGATATTTGAATTAAACATTCTTTATTTTTCTCTCTTAAAAGTGCTGGGAAAATATCATTGGCCAAGATATCTACCGTCTCATTGTGGTTGACTTCATATTTTGTTTGCTTGGATCTTTCTTTGGAGAATTTGTACGAAGGTGAATGTGATTTCTAGATTACATACTTACTGATGTGATGTCAACATTTTGAATTGATGCACAGTTTCAATCATTATCTGATGAAGAAGTACATTTACATTTAGATTTCAGCTGCTTCATTGTATGTAGCATAATTCTTGGCTGAAATGAAAAATGTTCTATGGCTTCTGCCATACATGCAGCATATTCACCAACATCAGTATTTTGCCAAACACAGACATGTGCTTGTTCTTCCATTTGCTGCCTAACTGATAAATGGTGCACATTTTTGTATACTACACCATTAATGTAGATCAGCGTATAGTTATTGTTACTTGTATGCAGGAGTTTCCCTTACAGATGGTGAATGGTTCTGTAGTTAATGATTTTGTGTCATTTTCAGAATCATTGGAACTAAATGTTGCAAAAAGCTTGGAGTGCCAGAATTTGATATTGCACGAAATGTTTTAGACTTGATCTACACACAGACTTTGGCCTGGTAAGTGATGAAATTTCATTCAGACGCGCTGTGAGATATTTAGTGTTTATTTCTACAGAGGCACTCTGAGGCAGCCTAGTGATGACATTTGTGACAGATAAAGATATGGCAGGGAATTGCCCTGGCAGAACTCTTTGAATTAAGATTAAGTAGCTTATGGTTCATGGTATGAAATGAATGGTTGATGTATTATGTGGGCCAGTATATAACCTCGTGAGAGGGAAGTGAATGCCAATTCTCCACCTCTCATTATGATGGAACCCAGTATTTGTAAACTATGCCCCATCTGCTGATTACCTCTTCCCTGAGTCTCATGAGCCAAGGTCAGAGCTGTATAAGGGAAGGATTGACTCATTCCTGGGTGAGCTAGTGTCGAGCTGAGGCTGTTATGAACTTGTGCATAGGAAAACCCCGTTATGGGGGTCCATGCCTGCTGATGGGAAGGGAGCGGGGCAAAGGGGGCAACTGCCCCAGGCCCCGGCAATTAAAAAGTGCTTGGGGGGTCCTGGCTGCTATTGCTATTGGGCCCTTTAAATGACAATCCCGCACGCTACAGGCAGCTCTGAGGGCTGGCTGAGGGGAGAGGCACGGTGCAGCCGTGAGAAATGGCTGCTCCAGCCCCCTCCCTTCTAGGAGCGAAGTTCCCCCCCACACATCTTGCCCAGGAGCCCGGCAATTTTGTCAGCCACCCTGGTGGGGTTTGAATGACTAACTCTCAGCAGAGCCCTCCTTAAAGCTGGGAGTGATCTCTGGGGAGGGAGGATGTTAAAGCTTATTTGCATGTGTCTAAATGTCTTTATTATTTTGATATGTCTTCTCTGTAATGCTTTCACTTAAAGAATGAACATCTTTGCTTACAAAGAGACGCTCTTTTCCACAAATACTATTAACAGAAAAACTTTTCAATTAAAAGCATTTGTGGAAAATCATGCCAGTCTAGATGTAGCCTGTGGGTATTTCATCCCTGGAGAACCCATGTAGAAAAATTAGTGGGTGCTTAGCACCTACTGGCAGCCCTCTCCCCTCCTCCCTCCTCCCAGTGACTCCAGCCCTCCACAGTCAGTTATTTTGCAATGTGCAGAAAGCTTTGGAAGGCAGGGTAAGGATGGGGCTTTGGGGGTAGGGTGTGGGGTGGTAGGGGCATGGCCTGGAGAGAAGCAAGATGGTGGTGAGGCCTGAGGGAAGGTGTCAGGGGCAGTCAGGAGGGAGAGACACATGGGTCTCTGCCCAAAAGAGTTGGTGGTTAGGAGTAATGTTTCTTCACACTTTTTCCATACATGTGCAGAATACATTTTGGTATGTGCACTGAGGCATGTGCAAATGTGCACCATCATAGACATATCAGCTGTGGTGCTCTGCTAATCAACTGGGCAACCTTTTGAATCTTTCCTGGGTGGCTGGCCAACCGCTCACCTTACAGGGAACACTGGTTTGGAGCTGGGAGCGTAGAGGGGGTCCTTTAGTTGGTGAACCATGAAAGGGAAATACCGGGGCCTTCCGGAGGAGGGCACAGGGTCTGGGACAGCCCCACCCTGCTCCTTGTCCCAGCCCCACCCCAGCCTTTCTCTCTCTCTCTCTCTCTCTCTCCCCAAGCAATGTGGCCAAGAGGGATTGTAGGGAACCTGGTGCAGCAGCAGCAGGGGATGCCCCCACCCTCACCACGTGGGCAGCAGGAGCCAGAGAGGCCTGACAGCCTGCTCTGCTCCATCCCCTCCACCACTCCCTGGGGCTGGAGCTCTCTGCTTCCTGCTACCGCTGAAAAGCCACGCTCAGTGGGCCAGGAGTGGGCAGTGTGGAGGGGAGCAGAGCAGGCTCCATGTAGTGCCCACGTAGTGGTGGAGGGGAGCGGCAGCAGGGGTCACTCCCTCCCAGGCCAGGTAATCTCCCAGGTCCCTCCTATCTATAGAATGATTGGGGCAGCCATTGTGTGGCCCCCCAAAAGCGCAGGATCTGGGGCTGCTGCCCTGATTTGTTCTATGGACATGACAGCGCTAAGGAATACAGATGCATTTGCCCTGAACTGTGATCACATTTAAAAGAGCTTGGCTAACACAATGGTAAGAATGGTTTAAAAGCCTTTACAGACATTTTACCTACCTTTTGTTATAATTGTAACTTAAAGGTACTTCTCTCCCCTGTTTTTGTCTTTGCTCACTCTGCAAAATTGAAATAAAACTAGTAACTGTGACTTTACGCAGGACCTGCACAAAGTTTTCTTCTTTCTTCCTTCAGCTAGGTAACAGAAGGTTGTAGAAGGAGCATCCTGGAATTTTTATATTATGTCTTAACTGCCCTACTGAAGTAGCACTGCTATTGAAGCTCTTCTAATATCAAATGGTATAGCAGTAAGGAGGGAAGGCATCTGTCCAATAAGTGACAGAATAAGAAAGGAAATTGTTTTCTAGATTCTAAATTAATATTGCAAGGGTCGAGGTGCAGCAGAATATTTAATTTTAAGTGTAATTTTTAAAAGTGTAATTTTTACCCTAGGAATGTGTTTTTACTTCTTAGTATATTTAACAGAATTAATATTTTAATAATTGTATCCACATAGTCCGATATAGTCTCCTTTCAGTTTTCAAGTTGTAAACACTGAAGATTCAGTTCTCATACTTTCTCCCCTATATTTTTTCCTCTAGGATTGGCATCTTCTTTGCACCTTTAATGCCAGCCATGCAGATTATATCATTTTTTATAATATTTTGTGTAAAAAAGGTAAGGAACTTTTATATGGTCTTTTCGTCAATAACCATGATCCCTGACTAGTCCTACATCTCAGCAAGACTATAGTCTTACCTGAATTTTTAGAAGCAAAGTGGGAGCTTTCAGCTTCTTAAAATATGGATCATTACTGTCAGGAGCCCTGAATGATAGATACTATATCTGTATCTTGCCTCTGCAGAAAAAGTTTTTCAGGGGGCAAAAAGAGATGGGGAGGGAAGAGGTGAAAAATAGCTTACATTTCTTACAGGTATTGTCCTATTGCAAAGCCCTATGGGGAGCCTTAGGGCAGGGGGTGTGGGAGACTCAGGGACGAGCAGGGGGGTGCAGGAATCAGGGTAGGGTATTAGGAGGTACGGGAGGCTCAGAGCAGGTAGTGCAGGAGTCAGGGCAGGGAGTTGGGATGTGGGGCGATGGAGCTCAGGACTGGGAGTGCAGTCACCACACTGCCCAGTCACCCGATCACTGGGATTGGAGCCTGGGTATGTTGTGGCTCCACGTGCCAGGGTGCCAGCAGCATCCAAATCTCCAACCCAGCCATCCAGCCTCTTACGAGTGTGCCCACTTGGGCCTACTTTCATCTTTTGGGTGACGGGCAAAGTCTGTCAGGTGGAGAGGATGAAGTAATGAAATGAAAGCTTTGGTAGGTGGGTGTGATGTGCACATGCCAGCCAAAACCAGAACCCACCCCCCTCCACTTGTAGTATGAATGACTGTATTATTTTCAGTAATTTAACACTCACTTGTGTCCACACTGTGGGTGCTACCACTGCAGCTGTGACACTATCTATATCGACAGAGTTTTTCTGTTGATTGGTGGGTAATCCACCTCCCCAACCAGTAGTAGCTAGATCAGTGTAAGAACAGTTCTATTGACCTAGCTGCAATTCCTGACCAACAGAATCCAGTTTTTCCTCTCCCTGTTTGAAAGACTGTACTTGATAATGATGTTTGTTACTGGACGTAGTTTGGAAACAGTTGATGAATGTGATTCCCATGAATTTGCTAGCAATTTCAGTTGGACTGACTGAGGTGCAGTTATTTAAGTGGCATACAACACATCTCCATCTGTATGTGTTCGCACATCTTTTTTTAAAGGTCAGTCTGATGAGGAACTGTCAGCCACCTCGCAAAGTCTGGAGAGCTTCTCAGATGACAACACTCTTCATTTTTCTGCTGTTTTTCCCTTCCTTTTCTGGAGTCCTGTCTGTAATGGCAGTCACTATCTGGAGGTAACCTCAGCATTCAGTATTCACTATCTCTAAATTGAATTACACCTTTGATCAGAAACCAAACAGGATGGAGATATTTTAATACCTAAAGAGAATTCTGCATTGCTTCCACTGAAAGGTTTCGAGGGTTGCTCATAAACTGTTTGGGACTCTGAAGGACATTACTGCAAACTAGGGATGTTAAATATAGGTTAATTGAATAATCGAGTAACCTCAAGAATTCTTATCGGTTAGTCAACGATTCTGTAGCCCCTGGGAGCAGGGCTCGCAGCCAGTGTGCTCCATCCTCATTCCTGAGGATCTCCCTGCCACTCCATGCCGCTGCCTTTGTATCAGAGGCAGCAGTGCAGGGTGCCAGGCGGCAGCTGGTTTGCGAGGAGAGCCAGTTTAAAAACCAGTTCGCCTCATGGACTGTCTGCCTGTCGCCCTGTGCTGCTGCCTCTGATAAAGAGACAGCAGCATAGGGTGGCAGCAGCCCCTGTCTAAGGTGAATCTGAGCTCCTGGATCCAGTGCAAACCAGAACTGAGCCGGGCTGTCTGCTCCTAATACACTTTAAATGCAAAGCCGCAGCAGGGGGAGGTCCTGGACCTGTTTCAAGCCAGGACTGAGCTATCCTGCTAAAAAATGTACTGGCAGGGAGGCGGGGGGAGAGGGGGAGGAATGCATATAGTCTATAGCGTTAACCTATAAGCTTTTGCTTATCAGTTAATCAACTACACTATCACATCCCTGCTACAAACTCCTGGAATTTAAGTTAATAGCTTGAAACCCATGGCCGGCTACTGAAAGAGAGTGGAGTTGTTGACACCCTGTGACTGAGGGATGAGAAGGAAGGAGAGCCGGCACAGACCTGTGATATAAGAGACCCAGATTCATTTCCCTCCTCTTCCACAGACTTCCTGTGTGATTTTAGGCAACTCACATAGTGCCTCTTTGCCTTAGTTCCTCATTTAGGGAATACTGTAAAATCTCAGGTATAATGCACACTTTTTTCTGATTTTTTTTCTGGGTCAAAGTCGGGGTGCGCCTTATACATAGCACTTATTTTTTTAAAGTTTTATTTTGGCTCCCGGACAAGGCAAGGAGCCGGCGGGGCTGCCAGGCTGCAGTGCCGTGGCTCCTTCAGGCTGTGCCCGGGGGCCCCTGCGGCAGGCTGGTAGTGGAGAGCGAGCGCACCGTCCCCCAGGCGCAGCAGGGCATGGCAGGAGAAGGCAGTGAGGCACTCTGCCGAGGGGCCACCAACTTCCCTGGCCCGGGGTGTCCTGGATGGGCTGTCCCCCTGCTCTTGGCTGCAGCTGCCAATGATAGCCAGGTCCAGGCTCTGGGAAGCAGGCGAGGCTGGGCTTGGTGCTGGCAGACCTGTTGACAGGAGTGTAGATACATAGGTGTGCATCGCGGTGCACAGGCAGCCCGGGGCCGGCTCCGGGAAGCAGGCAAGGCTGGGCTTGGTGCTGGTGGACCAAGTGTAGATATATAGGCAGGAGTGTAGATATATAGGTGCGCATTATATATAGGAGTTCAGTTTTTTCCATGATTCTGACATTGAAAAGGTAGGTTGTGCATTATACATAGGTGCGCATTATACTCTCAATTTTACGGTAGTAGAATTTCCCTGTCTCTCAGAGTAGTGTGAGGATAAATGCACTACAGATCATGTGTGGCACTCAGATACCAAGGAAATGAGGGCTGTGTAGGTATGATAGATAGAAGCTGCAATGCCTGTTTGTAGGCAAAATGGACATCTACTTCTTGCTGTCCCACCCAAAGGATCAAAAGGAGGCACAAGAAACAATGCAAGATGTATGGAGGCAGAAAAGTCTTAAAGAAAAATCAGTTCCACACCTATACTTGGCAGTTAAGAGTTTGGTTTGTTTATTCAGTGAAGAATTTGCTGTGACAATTTGGCTCTCTCACCTCTCTTTCTGTCAAAAGTTTCTGGGGCAATCCCATTTCTTTCTTCCTTAAGATCAAGGGCAGGTTCAGAAAGCTGAGTTCAAGTGGGTTGTTTCCTAGTAGATCTTCATAAACACCAGAAGGGTTCACTGAACTTGACTTGCATGGCTTGATTCCATTCTGACCCCTGCCAACCAAATAAGCACATAATTACTAACATAAAAGTTTATTAACCTACCTTATGAATGCTAAGACTTCGGTTTTTCTAGTCTGGAAATTATTGCTTCTGCTAGAAGCTGAGCCACATCCTGTTTTTACTAAAAATGTTAACTGAATATTCTGATACAACAATGGGGTGGGATAGCAAAGTGTGTGCATGTTGTGGTTTTCATTAAGCGTGCATGATCCATCTATGACAGCAATGGTTTCTTGCACTTTGTATATTTACTGCAACATCTGTGTAGCCTCTGCCATGACAATTGACTTGTTATAACTAGCTGGAGATTGGCACCAGAAAGGCAGTGTGGTCACCGATCTACTGTAGGAAGGTCTTGTGTGTCTCAGCTCACATAGTCAGCTAGGTCCATACTATTGACCGAGGAGTCACCGGTATAAAAGCTCAAATACAGACATGCAGCAAGCCCTCTGTCAGTTATACTTCTGTGAGTTGAACTGCATGCTGTCTCCCAAGAAGACCTAGTATTGTATGGCAATGGGTGTAACTGTTGCACAGATGGGGGTAGAGGGGCCCAGAGGAAATGAACTAGACCTCTCTCTCTCTCTCTCTCTCTCTCTCTATATCTATATCTATATCTATATCTATATCTATATATATATATATATACATATATACACACACACACACATACACTTTCTCTTTATTTTTCCAGGCGGACGCCTTCAAAACAGTGTGGCCCCTTCCAAGGCTTGCCCTCCGTAATTGATGCCGTTTCTGGGTGGATACACACATTGGACAGCTATTCTGGCTCAAAATGGGTGGGGTGGATTTATCGCAACTTAATTGGGAGCGTGCATTTCTTCTTCATCCTCACCATCATCGTCCTGTAAGTGTCCATGAATGAAACTAGGGGAGATGGAGAAAGTGAGGGAAACTTCGCTATGATGTTCTCATTCTCCGTGAAGAAAATGTAAACAAAACTTTAAAGCTTCAGTGTTGGGAACACACATGTATTGTAATTTAGAAAGAATTTATGGTAAAGTGAATAGAGAAACAAAGACAATTTGCTACATTTTATCTGAGAAGCTCAGATCTCTTTACAAAGCAGCCTCCCAATAGCCCAATGAGGGACCGTTCTTCAAGTACACTCACTTTACTGGTATCCAGGTTTATAAAGCCTCTTCCCATGAGTCCACTTACAACTTACTACATAACCAATATTAACAACTCAGAACATCCGGTGTAAGATGAGCCACACTAGGAACTTTTCCCGTATAGTTGTGTTAATTAGCGGCTGATTTATTTTTATGACCATTTTATACCAGAAAAGCCCAAATGTAGATGCAGTTTAGGGTGGGGGTGGGAGGTGGAATCCTTTTGCTAGTTTCCTTTGTTTAGGTGAGAGCAGGGCTACTCAACTTTTGAAGCCCCAGTGGCTACAATGATACTCACAGCTCATGCCAATGGCCACAGCGTAAGTTTGGTTGCATATATATCCAAATATATATGCATATATAGGTGCAAATAGATTCTTTCAGACTGATGGGCATGAATACAAAGATTAAGGCTATACAACACACAGGCTCCATCTAAGTCAGTTCTGCTGATATATTTGCCCAATTTTCACCCATAGGACAGCACTTTTAATGACTAATGACAGTCTAGGAATTTATCTACTAAAATGCATAGCAACAGAAGACCATTATACTGACTATTTTTTTGTTTTGGCTCCCACCCACGGGCCACGTGTTGAGCCCGGCGTTAAACCCAAACTGCACCAGGGGCTGCAAACAAACGGGCTGCAGGCCACGTGTGGCCCATGCAGGGCCGGACTAAGGGGTGGGTGAGCTGGGCAGCTGCCCAGGGTGCCAACTGATGGGGGGCACCTGATGGCAGCTGTAAGAGGCGCATGGCGTCCCTGGCTCCTGCAGCGCCAGCCCCCCCCCCCCCCTCCCCGCGGCGCGCACGGCCTGGCGCACGCGCCAGCAGCGTGGCCGGGCCAGGCTGGCCAGCGCATGCGCTGTGCGCCCCAGGGGCGGGCCTGTGCATGCGCCGTGTGCCCGGGGGCGGTGCCATGCGCCCGGGCCCAGGGCGCCAAAATGGCTCAGGCTGGCTCTGGGCCCATGGGCCGCGTGTTGAGTAGCCAGTACACACTGTGTCTATGCTGAGAGAGTTTGTGGAGGTAGCTGACCCCTTAAGCCCTTTCCTAGGCCCTGGGCTACCCAGCACTGCAAAGCCCTTTAGTGCCAGAGATGCAGCTGATACTAACTATATTCTTTTGCTAATATAAGATGCCTCTAACATTGGGTTTTTCTGGTTGAGCTATGCCAGTTGGCGGTGCATTTCTCCCCACTCCAGTGCCTGCAACACTGCGCTTTTTAGCTGAAAAGCATGGGTAACTGCTGTATCAGACCAAAGCACAGTGAGGCTGGTACGGCTGCATCTGCAGTAGGAGCCCTTTACTGTTTTATACCTGTAAAGCTCTTCTAATGTAGAAGTGGCCCGAGTATAGACCTGACTTTGGCACATAATTCCCATGGGCACCCAGCTGTCATTTGTGACTTTGAAAAGCAATCCCAAAGTTTTCTTTCATCTGAAGGAGTGGGTTGTGCCCGTGAAAGCTCATGGTACCATCTACATGTTTTGTTAGTCTCTAAGGTGCTGCAGGACCATTCGTTGTTTAAGTTTCTCCCAAAGCAGTTATGGGTTTTGTCCAAGACAGCATAAGTCTGTAGGAAAATTGGGAATAGAATTAGGGAGTCATTGCTTCCTGTGTCGCAGCCCAATCACATTCCCTTCTAAGGATCAAATCCTGATCTTTTAAAAATCAGTAACAAAACTCCAAGAGATTCCAGTGGAACTAGGATTTGTCTCTGTGATAGTCACTAATGTTATGTCTACACTATGAAGAAAAGTCTGAAAAAGATACGAAAATTGCAGTTTGCTATATGCGTATTTTTTCCCGCTTTTCTTTTGAAAGAGGCTTTTCTGAAATTGGGCACGTCTACACGGCGCCAAATTTTGGAAAAACCTCCTCTTTCGACACATCCCTTAAATGAGGTTTACAGGAATGGCGAAAGAATGCATCTGCTTTTTCAAAAAAATTTTCGGAAAAGCGGATTCATTCTTTGGATTCATTCATAGCTTTTCTGGGATACTTCCAGTATCCTGGAAAAGAGCAGTCTAGACATAGCCTAAGATTCATTAATTGGCAGGGGAGGGTCAGTGCCAATAAGTGGTACAAGGTTGGTTGAAAACAATGGATTCCTGTCTAAAACTATAAAGAATACTGTGGCGTTGACCTGGCTGCCTTGTATTTGTGTAAGAGCCCGTACAGCTTTGGGTTTTTCCCAGTTGAACTTCTGATCCATTTAGTGTTTGTCAGCCATTACTCATACGTGAGACACAGTGGGTGAAGTGGCTGTTATTCTTTATAACAACACTGCATTTTACTTCTTAAGTAAAAACTGTGTAAAATGAACAAAAGCTTTTTTCTCGTTGGGCGGCAATTTAGAGGAAAAGCATCATCTGAATATAAATACTCATGTGTTGAATTTTCTTTTCCTTTCAGAATTATCACATATCTTTACTGGCAGATAATAGAAGGGAGAAAGATAATGGTCAAATTGCTGCGTGAGCAAATTGTTAACGTAAGTTTGTTTTTCAGCTGTCTGTTGTTTGCTTCCTGGTTTTTTTTTTTTTTTTTTTTTAAACATGATAGCTGATTTCCTTATGTCTGTTGCATAGGATGCTTGCATACAAACAGGTTTCTAATTTGGCATAAGTGAGAACAGAAAACTCTTCCTAAGTACACGTGACTAATCAACCCTTTATGCAGTTTGTTTTAAGGTTTTACAGGGCAGCACACAATTGGTCAGATGCATTATCTGAAGTAAGGAGGAGAGTGGTTGGCTTTTCACAGAGATGTGGTATCCAGTGTTTGCCATATGTGCCAGAATACTGTACTCTTTGGGTATGTCTAGACTACATGGCTCCGTCGACGGAGCTATGTAGATGAGGTTTCTAGACATAGGGAAATGAAGCGGCGATTTAAATAATCGCCGCTTCATTTACATCAAAATGGCTGCCGCGCTGAGGAGGAGAGTGGTTGGCTTTTCACAGAGATGTGGTATCCAGTGTTTGCCATATGTGCCAGAATACTGTACTCTTTGGGTATGTCTAGACTACATGGCTCCGTCGACGGAGCTATGTAGATGAGGTTTCTAGACATAGGGAAATGAAGCGGCGATTTAAATAATCGCCGCTTCATTTACATCAAAATGGCTGCCGCGCTGTGCCGATCAGCTGTTTGGCGGCAC